CCCCTTCCCACACATGCACAAACAGAAACAGAATTTTAAAAAAGGGAGACACCCCCCCACCCCTCCCCCCACCACACATATACACGCTGAAACGAACACAATAAAAGACACGCAGAAACAGACACGCACGAACAAACACGTACACACGCGCACTAAATATACCATAAAAAGGCTAATGATTAGCGTAGGGGGCACCTTTGCCCCCTGAAAAAAACAACAACAAACAAGCAGAAGAAAACAAACAATTAAAAAAACACAAAAACAACGGAAAAAACAACAACAACTCAAAGACAAACAAGGAAGGCCAGACCACGCCTCCACATTGTTATGTTATTCGCGGTGCCCGAAGCGTTGCGTCGGTTATTTCACTTTCTCACTCATTATGTGCAGGTACAGTGAAGGAAGAGCGCGCGGTGGTAGTGGTAGAGAAAGTGACGCGTTTCATTCACGGAATATTTCAGGAAAACAAGCAATTTTGTGGTGGGCCAACACTGTAGCAGCACACGACAATCTTCTCCTGTGAAACCGATACCGCCCGACGCTGTATTTACTCGATCATCTTTTAGACACCGGGCCGCGCCAAAAAGTCTAGACATGTCACGTGACCTCTCCAGGCCAATCCGCTTGCGGCTTGAGTGAACTCCATCATATGGCTGGGCGAGGCTACTGAAGCATGAAGAGGGGGTGCGAAAGCAGAGTTTGCGCTGTAGTGCATTCAGACGATTGACAAAGATTATCAATGCACCTTTTCAATATGGGCTGGATAGCAAATACTCACGGCCACTTTATTCATTTACATTAAATCGGAACAGTCAGTTGTCGGTTTTTTTTTAGCGGAACTGAGACAACAGAACCCTTCTACCCCTTGGGCAAGTTCCGCTTACCTGGGGGGCTTAGTAAAGAAACATCGCTGGAGTGTGTTTTGGTAAAAATCCACATGTCATTTCACTGCTGGAGTAAAAAAAAACGTGTACGTATCATTGGATTGCTTGTGTGTCTTTTAAATGTGTAGCTATTGATATTCTTTGAAGGATATACGCTGTTTTCAAGCGATAGCCGTTCTACGGTCGCAAGCCAACGCCGACGCCAAGGCTCCCCCATTCTCAGTCAGGCTTGGCCCCCATGTCTTGAGATGTGCTGGAGAAGAAGAAGTAGAAAGCTTCTGGTTTACCTATGCCGGGCTCTCGCCTTGGCCTGACCTCGGCCTGTCGAAAGCCTCGAGTGTGTGTGCTTTTATCCTCTCCGTGTGTTTCTTTTGCAAGCTTTGAATAGGGTCGACCAGCGGTGAGAGGGAGAGGAATTTCTGTTTGTCTTCTGCTGATTTCTTGCCGGAGCATTTTTTTTTCAAGTGAGGCTTCAACCGAGTTCTCCGGAGAAAGCTTTTGTATTTTGTTGTGCCGAAGTGCCGACATTCCTTTTCGATGTTTTTGTGTTAGTTGCTAAGTTGGCAAGAGTTTGTGATGCATTCGTTCACTTTTTACCCTTGTCCATACTGTACTGCTGTACAGTAGAAATTTTGTTTGGTCATAGTCTTACATTTTAATTCAAAATCTTGAAAACCGTGCCATGCTATCGCTTCAGGTTGTTGTGTAGCGGCTCATTGAGTTGACTGTTTTTGCCGTCTTTTGTCTTTGCATTCCTCGCTGTGGTGTTAGGCTTACACTTACAATGAGTTCATTATATAATAGATATATAATATAATAATTGTGAGGACTTCCTTAGATTTAGATCTACGTTCTAGATCTAGATATCTAGATTCTAGATCTCTCTTTTTGGCACAAAGATTTATTTGAGAATTACAGCAGTAGTAGGTTAGCCTACACTACTACTACACGCCAATTGCTCAGCAAAGAAG